AATGGATACTCTCATGGTGTGGGTGATCTTCATCAATTTCAGCTGCCTCATCTTCATCGCTGACCTCCCCATTCAGAGAATCTTCCACCATCCCACTTAAACTCTGCTCTAAACCACCATCTTTCTTCGCCTTCACAAGAATCTTCCCCTTAAGATCCTAACATAGGGGTCAAAAAGTCATCTTTAACATATACCATAGGTGTTCGGGGTTTCTTTGAATTTAGCATTCTAGTTGATAATTTGCATTTCTATCAAATTATATGGCATTAGAGTTGGACAATAGATTACAGCCCTCACCTCAGGAGAGGGCAGTCTGATGAGGGCCTTGCCATCCAGTATAGTTTTCAACAACCTGTCACCAAGAATGTGGTTTAGATGATGTGCCATAACTCTCTGTTGTTCAACACTGCAGTGGTTCTCAATGGACAGGATGACTGGATATTGTGATACCTGAATGGGGGAGAGGAGGAAGAGAGATGGAGGGAGTGAGTACCTTTTGTGATTGAAGACTGGAAACAGTTACAGTGAAATGGTAAATGGCTTGTATTTGTATAGTGCTTTACTAGTCCCTAAGGACCCCAAAGCGCTTTACACATTCAGTCATCCACCCATTCACACACTGGTGATGGCAGCTACATTGTAGCCACAGCCACCCTGGGGCGCACTGACAGAGGCGAGGCTGCCGGACACTGGCGCCCAAGGACACAACGACCGAGACTGTCCGAGCCAGAGCTCAAACCGGCAACCTTCCGATTACAAGGTGAACTCCCAATTCTTGCGCCACGATCGCCCCTACAGTGGTGTGAAAAAGTGTTTGCACCCTTCCTGCTTTCCTATATTTGTATGTTTGGCAAACTTAAATATTTCAGATCAAACCAATTAAAATATTATAACACAAGTTAACACAAAATGCAGTTTCAAAATGAAGTCATTTATTATAAAGACAGGCCCTGTGTAAAGGTGACTGGACCCTAAACCTACTAACTGGTTGGCCAGCTTAGCATCTTAGCAGCAACAACTGCAATCAAGCATTTGTGATAACTGGAAGTGTTTTACAGCACTGTGGAGGGATTTTTGCCTACTCATCTTTGCAGAATTGTTGTATTTCATTCAAGCATGAACTGTCTTTTTAAGGTCAAGCCAGAACATGTCAGTTGGATTCAGGTCAGGACTTTGACTAGGCTACTCCAATATCTTCATTTGTTTTTCTTAAGCCATTTAGGTAGATTTGCTTGTCTATTTTGAATCCAGAGCCAAACCCAAGCGCACATTAGCTTCAGGTCACAAACAGATGGATGGACATTCTCATTCAGGATGTTTTGCTGCACAGCAGAATTCATGGTTCCATTTACCACAGCAGGTTTTCCAGGTCCTGAGGCAGGGAAAAAGCCCCAGACCAACACACTACCACCACCATATTTTACTGTTGGTATGATGTTCCTTTTCTGACAATGTGTTTACAGCTGTGTTACTTTTATGCCAGATGTAATGGGACACATGCCTTCCAATAAGTTCAACTTTTCTTCTCGTTATTCCCCAGAATATTTTCCCAAAAGTCTTGGGCATCATCAAGATGTTTTCTGGGAAAACTGAGACTAGCCTTTAAGTTCCTTTTGCTCAGCAGTGGTTTTTGTCTTGGAACTCTGTGTCAAGGTCTGGCTGTGTGGCAGCCAGGATGAGGACCCAAATGCAGGACTCTGGAGACAAAACCTGAACTTAAGCAGCTTTATTGCCGATTACTACAAACTAAAAATACAAAACACTAAACTCTTGGCATAGTAGCTAGACACTAGAAAGCAAAGCATGGAGCACACAGCACAGGGGTAACATGAGGACTACCTGAAGACTGATGATGTGATGAGGAGCAAATACAAACTGAGGACTTAAATACACTGGATAACGAGAGGATGGGCAACAGGTGGTAACACAGGTCATAACAGACAGAGGAGACAAAGGATGAAATATAAGGAGAGTAACATGGGAACAGGTAAGGGAGACGAAACAGAGACATGGCTAAGAAACAAAGAGAGTGGGAGCGAGAGACACAACAGGCTATGGCGACTAAGGAGTGCGCTAAAGACAGAACACCGAGACAAAGACTGTGGGAAACGAGAACAAGACTGACATACACAGGAAACAAAGGGAAAGGAAAACACTCAGGGAACTAGACCAGAACCACAAGGGATAAACACAATCAGAAAATCTCAAACACATAAGAAAACTGAACTAGGAAATATACCCTAGGAATACGACAATAATGAATAACCAAGATTCACTGGGTCAAAACCCAGGACCATGACACTCTGCCATGCACGCCATTTTTGCTCAGTCTCTTTCTTATGGTGGAGTCATGAACACTGACCTTAACTGAGGCAGCTGAGGCCTTGTTTGGATGTTGTTCTGTGGTCTTTGTGACCTCTTGGATGAGTCATCGCTGTGCTGTTGGGGTAATTTTGGTCTGCCACTCCTGGAAAGGTTCTATGTTTTCGCCATTTGTGGATAATGGCTCTCACTGTGGTTCACTGTACTCCCACAGCTTTAAAAATGGCCTTATAAGGCCATAATAAAGCCATATAATGGTTTTCCTTGGATCACAGCATGATGTCTGGCTTTTAAAGGTTCTATTGGTCTACCCCACTTTGTCAGGCAGGTCCTGTATAGTGATTTCTTGAATAAGAACAGGTGTTGGCAGTAATCAGGTCTGCGTAGAGAAACTGAACTCAGCTCTCCAAAGATGTCAGTTTATGTTAAAACGAGGGAGGGTCAGTCATTTTCACACAGGGCCACACAGATTTGTTTTCTTTCCTCTTAATAATAAATACTCTCATTTAGAAACTACAGTTTGTGTGTACTTGTGTTATCTTTATCTAAAATTTAAATTTACTTGATTATCTAAAACATTTAAATATGACAAGCATGTAAAGAAATTGGAAATCAGGAATTGGAAAGACACTTTTTCACACCACTGTATGATAACAGAAAACTTAAATGTCTGCACATCATCTCGGGTTGTGCCTGCCTGGCTGTAAGACCAGCAGATGGATGGGCAATATTGAGTTTCCAACAAATATGAAATTTGGAATTAGATTCCTTTCATGTAAATTCAACAACCCATGCGTATAGAGTTCAGTAGCCTTGCATACAAAGACGCCATCATGCATGGGACAGTGTCTGCTTTGCACACGCTGCTATTGCCAGGACACATGGGGGTGTGATATCCTCAGGGAGCAGAGGTTTTAGGCAAAGCATTCTGCTTAAGCTGTAGGACAGCCATCAACCAAAACACTGCTATTCCCTTATAAAAATGTAAAATAACCCACTCAGGTGATCCTACCTTGAAGGCATAGTTTCCAACTGCACTAACCACATCCTTGAAAAGTATCTTGGAGGTGAAAGTGTGTCCATGATATACAATGGGCTCTCCATTGGCACCATCCCAGCAGTCTACTTCAACACATCGGCAGCCACGACTCAGAGCCCTGAAGAACAAGGACAAATACAATCTTTCCTTTATTATTGATTCTGTTTTGGTTCACAGAAAGGTAAAAAATACAATGGCCATGAATATATCCTTCATCTTCTTCTTCTTCTTCCTTCGATTGCTCCTACAGTGGATCATCTGCCTCCATGTCACTTTATTTTTAGTATCCTCCACTGTCACACCAACCCTTTATATGTCCTTCACTACATCCCTGAACTTCCTCTGAGGTCTTCCTGTGTTCCCCCTTCCAAGCAGATCCATAATCATAATCCTTTGTCTAATATATCCACCATCTCTCCTCCGCACAAACCATTTCAACCTTGCTTCTCTAACTTTGTCTCCAAACTCCTACACTCACTCGACCCTGTCTGCCTTTTATTCACACATTCTGGATTCTGTATTGCTTCTACTGACTTTCTGACAGGATCCTGTGTGAAAAAATCATTGCACCCCCCTGTTATAGCATAAATTAATGGGGGTGTATCGTATCTTTGGAAAGCCGAGTTCAATTTCTCTAGCCACACCGAGACCTGATTACTACCACCACCTGTTCTCAATCAAGAAATCACTTAAATAGGATCTGTCTGACAAAGTAGAGTAGTCCAAAAGATCCTCAAAATCTAGTACAGCGATGAAGATGTTAGAAAGTCCCAAGAGAAACATCAAAAGACCCGAATGCCTCGCTTGGTTGAGGTCAGTGTTCGTGACTCCACCATGAGAAAGAGATCCTTCATGGCAGAGTTCAAAAACCACTGCTGAGCAAAGACAAAGACTCATCTCAGTTATGCCTGAAAATATCTTGATGATCCCCAAGTCCTTTGGGAATATACTCTGAGCTGACGAGACAAAAGTTTAACTTTATGGAAGGTGTGTGTCTCATATCGACATCCAGTGTAAAAGTAACACAGCATTTCAGAAAATGAACATCATACCAACAGTAAAATATTGTGGTGGTAGTGTGTTGGTCTGGGGCTCTTTTGCTGCCTGCCAGGACCTGGAAAACCTGCTGTGGTAAATGGAACCATGAATTCTGCTTTGTAGCAAAACATCCTGAATGAGGATGTTCAGCCATCTGTTTGTGACTTCAAGCTGAAGGACACTTGGGTTCGGCAGCAGGACAGTGATTCAAAGCACAGTTGATCTTGGCTTAAGAAAAACACACTGAATACTTTAGAGGGGCCTAGTGAAAGTGCTGCCCTGAATCTCATTGAGACGCTGGCAACAGGTTCTAATCCCAATGCATTATATACCGACGATTGTGACAAATCGTCGCTATTTTAGGCGTTGGGAGTGCAAAGTCGTCTGCATTTTATGCATTGGGAAGGACAGCGGGCTGTTGGGAATGAGAGTGGGTTGGAATGAATCTATACATGTGCTTTACGTGTGAAATTAAAATAATAAACCGAACAAAGTATTATGTACCTAAAATCTGTTGGAATTATTTGTAATCGCCATATTGACTATATGGGTTTCTTGGTCTGCAGTGAACATGCTTCCTCTGCCCCAGCATCTGGTCAGCTAGCAATTCTGTAAAGTAACAATTTCAGTATTGTTACATCTATGGTATTGTTGTGTTCCTCATTAGCATACGGCAGTGCTACAAGTCTTAGTGCAAAGTGACTGTGCTAACTGATTTATCTTCGTCTTTATCCTGTTTTCCTTCTCTCACCCCAACCAATCGCAGCAGATGGCCCCGCCCCTCCCTGAGCCTGGTTCTGCTGGAGGTTTCTTCCTGTTAAAAGGGAGTTTTTCCTTCCCACTGTCACCAAAGTGCTTGCTCATTGGGGTCATATGATTGTTGGGTTTGTCTCTGTATCTATTATTGTACAATCTACTGTGCAATATAAAGCACCTTGAGGCGACTGTTGTTGTGATTTGGCGCTGTGTAAATAAAATTGAATTGAATATTGATTTCCAAAATAAGACTATTAGCAAATCCTTCATGGTATCCCTTGTATTATTCTAATATTTTCATTGATACATTTAATGGATGAGAAATAATCACTTAAAAATAATATGAGGTCGAGGCCCTCTCTTTATTTTATTAAACTCAGTGGATTACAGTGATAAGAATGTTTTCCAGTTAGAAAAGCTTGTCTAGTTAGACAAGCGAGTGCCCACAGTTGCAAAAACGAGTTTTTACCAGCTATGCCAAACTTCCAAGGCAAAGCCCTATGTTCCACATAAAGACTTTGAAAAGTTTATCCACGCCTTCATTAGTTCCAGATTGGACTATTGCAACTCGCTATATTTCGGCCTCCAATTCTCTCTCCTCCAACGCTTGCAATTAGTTCAAAATGCCGCAGCACACCTTTTAACTGGCTCCAGAAGGCATGATCACATCACCCCTGTTCTAGCCAATCTACACTGGCTCCCCATCAAATACTGTATCGTTTTTAAAATCCTTTTGTATACTTTGAGAACTTTAAATAACCTGGCACCAAGTTACCTCACTGACCTCATCGACTTGTATAGCCCCATAAGAGCATTTAGATCCTCTAACCAACTGCTCTTAGTGCAACCAAGGCTCCAACGAAAGACTAGAGTATCGACCCTCCAATCGATATTCGCACATCAGAACCTATACAATCGTTTAAATCGCGCTTAAAAACTCACTTGTTTAATCTAGCCTTCTAAGCAAATTAGTTCGGACTTCCACCTGGTCTGCATTTGTGCTACATAACTGTAACTGTTTTTGTTGTCTTTTGTTGTAACCCGCATTCACTTGTGTGAAGCACTTTTATGGACACTTTTATGTGCTATAGAAATAAACATTGATTGATTGATTGATTGATTGAGAAAAAAAATTCTGAAATCAATTAAATCAATGTCTACTTACTTTTAAAATTTAGAATTTTACATTTAAATGTAAAAAGTAGACGTTGTGGGAAGCATTAAGCCACTTTGCTCTGTTTTAAGTGTCGTAAATAGAATAGAATTGAATTGCCCTTTATTTCCATTGTACATGTAAAATGAAATTATGGGTGCTCCACACCAACTGTGGATAAATAAAATATAAATAGTAAGACGGCAGGTATAAATAACAAACAGGAGAAATATATACAATGAAGACGAATCTATTAAAAACAATAGAAAAGGAACACATCGGAGAACACGTTGCAAAGTGCTTGAAAGTAGAGCAAAGGACTTGGTCTGAGTAGAGTCTGTGTGTGATTGGCCTTAGTGATGAGAGTTACTCAGACCATGGCTCATATTGATGAGGTGGGTGGGCAGGGGTGGGCGAGGAAAGTGTTTGCTGATAGTGCTTGACCCCTGTGTACCAAACACCATAGCAGTAGGAGAGAACGCTTTCCATTGAGGAGTCGTAGAAGGCCAGTTGCATCTTCCAGTACAGGTTATTCTCCCTGAGGACACAGAGGAAGTGAATCCGCTGCTGGGCCTTCTTTACCGGGGCGATGGTGTTTGTGGAGCCATTCTCCATCTGTAAGGTGGGGAGTGGACCTGCCTGTGCCTCCCAAAGGTCATGATAAGTTGTTTCAGGTCCTCCCTGGACGACCTGCTTGTGTGTGTGTCTCTCTCTCCCTTTTTTCCTTCTCCCCGCCCTCTGGGTCTGCTTCCGGGAGATTGAGAGTGTGGCGACCCCTGACCCGGAAGTGTCTCCGCTCAGCAGCCAACACACCTGTACCTAATCTTCAACCCAGCTTTCACTAATCAGCCCCCATTTTTGGCTGAGGTAACGGTGTGTCCGGATGGCAGTCGACGCTGGATTGTACTCGTAAGTAAAGTGTGCTCGTTATTGGTGATGGTGATGCAGCTTTAGCTGGCTAACCTGCTCATCTGTTGTTGTCGCTTGTCTTTTAGGAGGAAAAGTACAGGGAGGAGGGTTGGAAAGAAGGAGCTTGCTAGGATTACCACTGGGGAGACTCACCTGCACCACCACTGGGAATTTGGAGAAAAGCACTGTTGGACTATTGCACTTCTTTTCATGTTTAAGACCGTTTTTTTGGGACTGTAAATAAACCAGAGCTTCACGACTGAGTCTGTATTTCCCATTACCCGTGATAGGATGTTCAGTTTTTGGTTATTTTCTGAGCACCAAGGGAACAAGTTCTCCAACAGAAACCTGGACTCTCCGTAGCAAGTGTCCAGTTACCGAGACCCTCTGAAGGTCTACTAGAAGATGTGGCCTGGCTCCAAAATGAACAGCTACAAGAAAAAGTGCCCTCCATGGAGAAGGAGACAAGAAGCCAAGATCAAGCCATAATGGAGGGAAGTTAGCCAACTATCGGAGCTGTAGAAAGGTGCGATGGTAAAAGAGGTACCTAAAAAGTGCTGTTCATAACTGAAGCCTTGGAAACTCCCAACCAAAGACTCACAGCCTTGGCCAGCTGCTTAAAGAGGTATGCCAGAGAGAAAAAAAACAAGCTGTACTCCACTGAACCACCCAAGGTGTACTCTTAGTGGCAGAGCACACTTAAAGACAGCACACTCAAAGGAAAGAGTAACAATTTTTTTTGATTGACCAACGCGTTTTGGCTTGTGGCCTTCATCAGGGTCATAGTAACACATAGTAGAAGTGTGCTTCAGAAAACAGAAAAAAATCCAAATGAACCAATCACATCTTCATAGATAAATCAGCTGACATATAACAGGTTGGTATTGGTTAATTGGTTAAGTCACGCCCAAGTAAATACTGGCCAAGATCATTAATGATGAAGACGGGGGGTGGAGACATAATCCCCACCTGTCTTAAAATAATACATGCATGAAATTCATAAGAAGAATATTACAAATATACAAAAATGATTACAAAGGAAAGCATTTAATTATTAATGATCTAGTCCAGTATTTACTTGTGCGTGACTTAAGCAAACCAAAATGATCAAAACTGATGATAATCCAACTTTGGACTACGAATACGAACTGATAAATCTCAACCTGATGAATTAGCTGTGAGCAACCATGTTTTGGCTTACTGTGCAATTTTACAAACCCCTACTCTTTCAAGGTGCTACTCTCTAGATCTCTGGACAAGCTAGCATATTGCAGACAAGCTTGTTAGGAGTGGTTCAGTAGCTACCCCAGGTCTTCATGTGCAACATATTTTAGAAGAAAGTTGGGGTGAATTTGATGAAAGCATGGTAATTTTAAGCCATTACTGCTACCTGATGTATCCCTCCACACTGCTTTGTCCTCTGAGCTGGTCCTCCATCAGGTAGGTGTTGTGGGATGATGAGATGAAATAATGACAGAGTGGCTGAGTCATGTCCTGAAAGATCCCCCTCCGCTGTGGGTTAAAAATGGAGCCTTCAGCTGAGCCGAGGTACATCAAAAAGCCATCAAATGTCATGGCATTCATGCGCTTGGCTGGAATGACAGTGAGATGGTGTCAATGTCTTTTAACGTAATATGCTAACTGTACCATAAAATCTCATGAGGGAATAGACTGATCCTAATGTCATAAAAATTATATTCAAACAAAACATCAAGATGTATTCTTTACAATGTGTGCACCTTTGTCTGAGGGTTCGTAGCACTCAATGAGCTGCTTAGCATGCAGTTGGATATCATCCCCCTCAAGCTGTTCCTCTCTAAGGAAGTCCTCCAGGTTGCTTTGGGATAGCTTCTGACCATCAACAGAGTATTCCTGAAATACCTTCAGTACATCCTCTCGCTGAGTCAACATCTTGTAGAAGAGCACAAACTCATCATTCTCCAGGGTACCTGATTGGGACTTATCAGCCATCTGAGACAAGAGGCAAAAATGTGTACTGTAGCAAGGTGGACAGATGCATCAAAGTGTAAGATCTTGTTGAGAAATAAATATGTATTCTTAATGCTTATTTGCTGATTAGATTGTTTTATGAGAGGCCCAGACTTCAGTGTAAAACTAGGTCGCAGGCTGACAGGAAACTGCATGCTTTTGCAAAAATAGGAGCTGCAGGCAGAAAGTGAAACTAAGTAGAGTGTTTGATCGAAACTTCAAGTGTGTGTGACGTCTAGATGAAGTATATAAATAACCAAACTTCCTGTTTTTGCCTGAGACTTGAGCTGGCGTTGCTGTGTGTGCTGAGTCTCCATATTCTGGAATATGTCAAATTAAAGATCTTTTGAGTTAGACCACTTTGAGCCGTGTCTTTCTTGGCCATTGAAGAATACAAAGAACTGGATTTAATAATCTCCTAATCCTAGTACCAAGGACATTACAACAGAACCCAAACAACCTTAATACTGAATATTTAAATCACATGAATGTGTATACTTTGTTAGTATACACATTTAGTACAGGTGTCTCACTGTAAAAAGGTGGTGAGCATGATGTTCATTCATGTCCACATTCATCATCTTCAGCAGGTCTTGCACTTCCTTAAAGTTCATCCTGCCATCATTGTTCTTGTCTGCCTTTTTGAACCATTCACCAATCCATCTGAGTACGACAATCAAGGAACTTTCTAATAAAACTTTGTTTTGCTACAGTAATGGTACAATGGTCACTGTAAAGACAGACAGATACCTTATTGATCTCACAAGGGACATTGTTGCCTAACAGCATCATGACAAAGAATAAAAATAGTA